AAAGGTTTTGGACGTGCGTGTCACGTGCCGCTGTCACGTGACTCGCGGCGCGGTAGATCCGCGCGGTGCATCATCGTTGCGCACGAAGATCGCGATGGCGGCTGCCTTTTGAGCACGGCCTGCCATATTTCAGTCCCACCCGATTTTTCCAATCCGCGAGCCGGACGACACGGAATGCTTGACAATTATTCGCCTCGCGGCCGTACACCTTATTGCACGAGCGTATTGCAAATACACTCGCGGCAGGGTGCATTCGTAACGACTCGCCCGACCGATTTGAAAGTTTAAACGACCACCTCTCTGCCCGCCGCTCAAGGAAACCGACCTCTTTTCGATCCGACTTTCGCTTCCAGCCTGAATATTTCCTACATCGAGGGCGCTCCCGTTCGATCCACTTCTCTAAAGAGACAGACGCGTTCTCTTCTAGATTCCATCTATTTCGAGTATCGAGTTTTTAAAGTTTCTTTTCTTTTCGAAATATTTATTTCTTATTTTTAATTATATATATTCGAAGGAAATAATAATTGAGGGATAAGAGGGGAAAAAAAGGGAGATTGCTGTGACACAGAAAATTTTTATTATCCTTTTTGTTACATGAGCCATGGTCCGAAAGTGGTCCGAAAAGTATGGTCGGAATGGGTGTGTGAGGATCGTGCGGTTGTCCTCGGAATAGAAATTTCATCGTTTCCGAGATTTCAGCAAGAATCCTGTAACGCCCATATCCAAATATCTAAAAAGAAATGTTGGTTTTTTTTTCTTTTATTTTGCCTTTTCGAAAATTAATCCCAAATAAATTCAATTATCTTGATAGTAGCTCACCTTTTTTGAAAATCTGAAATTTCCCGTTTTATTTGCGTTTTCTCCGAAGTGATTCGACTACCGTCATTTGAAACGAGCCTGGACGCGACTACGGTAGACTTTTCTGGTGGACCGGTGGTTGCTGATGGAATGTTCGTCAATCGTTTACCCTGACGGCTTTCTTTCGATTTTCGTCTGACGTTCAGATCCGACGAAACAACAATTTCGTCGAACGTTTGCCCATAAACGGCTAAGAAGCGGGAAGAAAGCGGTGATTAATTGGAATTGAAATAGGAATAGACGCTCGGAACGAGACGAGACGAGACGTGGAAGACTAAATTGAGCAAACCAATTATGGTTGCGCGTGCAACGGTATGATGCACACCGTTGACTAATACTCGTTAAAATAACTAGAAACTTAATCATTCGTGATAAATAGCTTCTTTTATTGTACAATATTAATCGAATCGATAATTAATTTAATTTATCCGTGAAAATAATTTCTTAGGGTATACTCACTTCTTCAAGATATACTCACGTTTTTGATCAGACGTTTTTTGGGCGTGGACAATTATACAAGCCAGAGCGATCACCAGAAGGGACAGAAAATTTGTCATCTTGCCAAATTCGACCGAAATTTAAATTTTTCTTGCTAGATGATCCGAAATTTTATTCAAACCTAAAAAAATAAATAAATAAATAAAATACTTCGAACAAGTTGGATAACAAATCGCAAATAACTCTCTCAATTGCCATTTTTTGTCGATAATATGTATCTCTATGTATTATCGCGAAAAGAAGAAAAGAAAAATAATATTTCAAAGACAAACAAGTAGCACAAGAATTCTCTGGAAGGCAAGATTGCTCAATGTCTCTCGCGTCACGATATTATCACGCGTATACTATCACGCGTCACTGACGTATGCAAAACGTCACCTTTCGCAACCAGATCCAGACTACCAGATCCACTATCAACCAGTACCAGAGTAATGCGAATCAAAGATCGATCGGATAGGAAAGGAAGAAACATTTCTTCTCCCCGAAAAGAAGCAGCAAAAAAAAAAAAAAAAAAATTTAAAAATCGTAATCCAAACCTTCTTTCGAATCTGCCCCTTCTCTATACAATATAATATATCTTACGTCACCGTGACGATTGACCGATCGGGGAGAAGAAGAAGAAAAAGAAGCGGGGGAAGAAACGAGGAAAGGAAGAATTATTTGCACGCGAACTTGTGAACTCCGACTTACCGACAGTTCAAAGCCAGAAGATACTTTCCGAGCCGACAACCGCACGAGAAATGCGAGCACAATGCCGCGGAAGGCTTGAAGAGAGCATCGCGAATTCGCTATAGTGCGTGGTGGAACAGGAACCTGGCCGGGGGTAAGGGTCCAGAAGGAGGCGCCTCGCGGGCCATTCGCGCACTGTAGATCGTATGCACCGGACAGACCACTTTCTATTTCATTTTTTCCCCCCTTTTTCGACCCGTCCGTCTCGCTCTCCTAAGGATCCGGCCGATCGACCGGGTCGACTGGTCTCTGCGTGTCCACCACCGGACTAAACAATGCTTAACGACCACCGAGATGGACCTTTAACGAGGCCCCTTTAATGCCACGTCCACGGTGTCACGAACCTCGGCTCCTACCGTCGAGCAACCGTGTTTCCAAGGGCTTCGTTGCTACCTTTTGTCTCCCTTTCTTTTTTTTTCTTTCTTTTTTTTTTTTTTTTTCGGGAGTTTTAGGCCAACCTTGAGAAAATCGCGTGCGTTTGATTGGAATTGGCGAGGCTTTTACGATGATCCTTGTCTGATTGAGAAGGTGGTCGAATTTCAGAGATTGGTCTCCTTTGTAGTAAATTGGGTAAATTTTTTTGGGACAGAGAGAAGTTCGAGAAAAAATTTTGGACAAGATTTTACGATTCTTTCTGAAATGATTTCGAAGGAAGAACGATTTATTATTACGGGAAAGATGATGAATGTCGAACATCTCTATTGGCGAGGCGAAGTAATTTCAAGAGTGGAGGCAGGAACGTTGGAGAGAACGATCGAGAAATCAACAAAGCAAAGGAGGCTTGCACCGGGTATTATCGAACCAATCGCGAGCGGTTACGGGTTCCCAGAATAAAAGCAGCGAGAATTTGCTACGCGAATTCCAAATGAACGAGTACCAATGTTTTATTGGCCGTGGCTTTTTATAGAGCAAACCGGCGAGAATATACAACTTCTCTCGAGCTAGTTTCCTTCCATCTACGCGAAATACGTATAGCCTTGTCTCGAACGTTGAACGGAAAACTGTTGTGATCCAATATCTATTCCAAACCTTCGTCATAAAAGAAGATTGAAAGAAACGCTAAATAAATAAAATTTTTTCTCTAAATTATTTCCATCGATTTCTTTGAAAAAGAAAAAAAAGAAAAAAAGAACGGGAGAAAGAAAGAGATGAAGAGGAGAAAACGAAAAACAACGTTCGATTCCTAGGGCTTTTTATTTTCAATAAGAAACAGCCTTTCTCAGCGGAGAAAGTTCCAGACGGATAGATAGCGTGGAGGATCACGAATGTGTGTTCACGAATCGGGTCCCGGTCATTGCACGCCTCCCTGCACGGATCCCGATTTTCAGCGTTCGCATCTTTTTTTTTTTTTTTTTTTGTTTTTTGTTACAGGGCCTCCTCTTCCTCCTTCTTCGCCTCCCTTTGTGCCGTTTAATCCCCGGCCCTCCTCTCTCCGCTTCCTTGCACCGGCCTTCCTCGTCCCTCCGCCGACGAGAGGACCGCATCGCGATATTTTATCGGTTTTATTCGCGGGAACATCTGGCGTACGGACAAAGAGAACTCTGGGCCCTCAGGAAATCTCCACGAGGGTGGTTCGTCCATTTTTCGGCCAGGCTGCTCGCCTCTATTTATCTATAGTGATGTAGAATGTTTGTAAACAACGGTGCCGATAGACGATCGACGCCATCTTGTATTAGACGGATTGGAGGCGATCCGTTCGCGGCCGAGGGGAGGGTGAAGTGATCTGTGAACAAAATAAGAAAATTTGAAAAATTTAAGGAACCAAGGAAGATTCGTTCTTCGTTCTCTCCATTATGATTTCATTTCTTCTTGGATAATTTAAAAAATTTAGCCTCGTTTGAGTTTATTCTGCTGCGATCCCTTCCTTTGTTTAAAGGAAGAAGGAAAGGGAAATGATAGAGCGATTTCGAAAAACGTGTTATCGAGACCCTGGAAGGAATCGACAAGAAGGAATAACAGGACTCGGATGGTGCGCAATCTAAGATCAGCATTTCTCCCGGTCTTAAGCTTATACAGTACGCATGAATAAGCTTGCGTGTGGAACCACTTGTGACCTTTAACCCGTGTGCAGAATGACCCTTGAAAGGGAGACTGCGAGGTGATTTACATACGAGAATTTATTGGCCCCGTCGGAGCGCCGATGATAATGTACGCGTCCGGGTGATTGATACGATTTTAACAATTCATGACGCGGTTGTCGGCCGTATAATCAATCCTCGTTTACCACGATTCGTCTCGTTCGTTTATCTATCTATTTAATAACTGCAACATCCCGTAAAGGTAATTCGTTTTTTCCATCGCGCAACTTTCTGCCCCCTGTTCCCGTCACGAGAAGAGATAGATGGAATAGCAATTGGTAACATAATCTAACGAGATGATGAGACGTTCATTTTTCGAAAGAGGGGATCGTCTTCGTGGCCACGAAGAAGAAGCGAAGGATTCTTCTTTCCTCCTGTTTCACATCTTAAGCTTAAAGAAGAAAAAAAGAGAGAAAGAAACGCACGAAGCTGGATTTTAAAACGAAGCATCGGGAGTGTAGGCGCGTTTTCGAAACGAAAACAGACCGGTCCTATCGGTGGTTGAAGGCGAGGCGCAACGTGCTCGCCCCTGCGTTGCGACGCAGCGGCCGGCAACATGGCGTATCCCTCGGATCCCTTTAAAACGAGTTAATCCGTCTGTCTGGCCGTCTGCCGATCGCCTGAGAACCAAGAAGATTCATTTTCCCTTTGTCCATTCTTTTTCACACGTACCAAAAGGAGCTGCGGCTCAATGGGACAATGCAGGCAGCGCCGCGCACGGTTTTACGACGTTCCTTTTCGCACAGGTCCCACACACATTTGAATAATCAACGCGTAGGCAAGCCTCTGCTTTTGTCGCGGTCCAAGGGCCAAGTGTTAGGAGAGGAGGGGCGGGGAGCGTTGGAGAGGAAGAGGGGGGAGGGGGGACGGGAGAGGGAAGTAAGAGAGAAGGGAACGAACGAACGTCCACTCCTCGAAAGGCAGTCGCCGCACAAAAGTTGACACGCACGATACGAAATGATTGTGTCTCTCCATCTCTCGAATACTCTCCAATACTCCCGAAAACTGTGTGCGGACAGATGTTCCACGCATGTTTCTTCTTCACCCGTCCTCGTTCAGAGAGATCGGAGAGATCGTTTTGTTTCCGTTCCTGTGCGGCATGGGCAGAGGTGGAAAAGAGTACGAGGCGCGATTACGTCACGCGCTTTCTTCCTTTCCTTTCCTCCTTTTAATTCGCGCGGGTTCGTTAACCTTCGTGAACTCTCCCTCTCCCTCCGCGCTCACTAAAGGGAGGCCTTCGTGGCCTTCTCTTTGCCCGCGCCTCCCTTCGTCCCAACGTCGCATCCCCGCGAACCTGGCCCTTGCCTTTTTTCTCATTTCTTTTATTTTTTATTTTTTTTTTTTTTT